TTTTTGATAGGGCATGGGAAGGTGGAGGGCCCCGCTCCATGAGAATATAAGGCTTTTACAGTGCTTTTACACAAACAGAAAACTTTCATAAAACCTGAAAACCAATTTTCAGCAACTCACCATAAACCCAGCCTATGCAGACACATTCAAATATGGCCACGAAAAGAAGGCACATGCCACTAGCTGCATACGAGTCAAATAACTGAAAGACATACATCCCCCCCTGAAAGACAAAAAATGGAAAATGGAAAAAAAGATTGTGTTAGCACCAGTAGGAATATTTCATGGCAAGTATGGCTTTAATTACATAGTCAAGCTGTGGGTTCCCTGGCAATCTTCCTGCTAAAGTTGCTTCCCTCTTGAAGAAAGAATATTCACTTCTCAAGGATTTCTAATTGTGAAAGATTTTTTTCTTCTATAGTACTTAAGATTATTCCCTAGGCCAGTTGTGCATTTACTTTAAGATAGTAAGTCCTGGAGTTTGAGAGAACTACAACTTGACTTTTTTCCAGAACATTCCCCCTCCACGCTTTTTCTTCAACTTCATTTGTTATCACATCAAGCTGTGGATAACTACAGGTGCTTTTGATCTCCAGACCACCGCATATGAAGATGCAGCATCTTGGTTTTGTGCCTGTGCTATTAATATGTGAAAGAATTAGGTAAAATGTGGGGAAAGAAGGCAAAAATCTGTACCTCACTCTCCAATGGCATAGGGACTGTAAAATGAGTAAATTGACCTATAAATTTTGAGTAGCTCACAGCCTTTAAGCCACATTACTTAAACACATCATTTTTATTTGACAAAAAAAAAAAAAAAAAAAAAAAAAAAAAACACCCTGCACCCCAAAAAACATTTTTAAAACTTTTTTTGAAAAAAAAAAAAAAAAAAAAAAAGAAGAATCACCCTGACTCCTAGCAAGCATTTTAAAACTGGGTAACCTAATACAACTATATGAATAATACTACACTAATTTCTGTGCAAAATACTTCATCTTTTATCACATCTGCATTGTGTATTGCAAGAATAATGAGGAGGAGATTCACAAAAGATCATTTTAATAGAAAGGAATCCTAAGACTTCCCTCTGCAGAAATCTCAATTTTCTGCAAATGGAAGAGAACCCTAAAAACATAAAGAAAACTAAATCACCACCAATACCTGGGATTTCCTTTTTTTTTTTTTTCTCTCTTTGATAACAGACGAATTTTATCTTTTAATGTAGATGCTTCTCTGATTATTAGCTACACTGCCTTTATTCAGCTTTGCCAGGTGACTGCTTCCCAAAATATCACAAGCAAACATCTTTACTGCAAAGAGCTCACAGTTAGGCTCATCAAATACCTGAACAAATTGGAAACTTGGAGATCAATGAACAAAGACAATACAATGCAAGGAAAACAATTCCACAAAACTTCTGCAAGAATATTCCTGTCATTCTAGGAAACTTGTTTCCTCTTCACTCTTCATACTTATATTTCTCTTAGCCTGTACATCTTGCTAATGTATCTCTCAGCGCTCTGCTTAACACTTGCCCTCGGGGAGGAATTATTCCAGAATTTTCTCATTTTACATATCAAAGACAATTTATCTTACCAAGGGCAAGAATGATTATAGGCAAATTGATGCCCATAAAGTTGCTCTGCTCCAATACTCAACTGATAGGGACACAGATCTAGAAGGAATTCTTAATCACTAGTGTCAATTCTTCTGTTCTCACGGGGAGCTGTGTCACCTTTCATAAACCAACCGATAATCTCAACTCTGGTTTAACAGGCTTACAAATGCCTGACACCTTTTTTCAGGTGAAATTTGCTCATTTTCAGCAGCAGAGAAATTTGAAAATCACATAGTCCAAGGACTGTGGACCTTTGCAGAAGGAATTTAAGTGACCCCAGAAGAAATCATGAAGCCCTGGGAGGCTACTTCACTAGAAACCCTGCCTGAGATTGCTGCACAGGAGTCACATCATGGCCTTCCACAGTTAGCACAGCCAGGCTTCCTTGGACAAGCCTTCCTCAGACATTTAATCCTACAGCTCCTCAGACGACAAACTTGGTATAGGGAGAGTCTATTGACCCAGCAAGCAGGAGAATATGGACAGAGGAGGGTGCGGATTCTTCTCCACTTCTTCCTGTCTCGAGAGGGTAAAGTGAAGGAGAGGAAGACTGTTGATACAACTCATTCTGTAGAGCAAGCACTAAACTCCTACCTAGTACCAAAGGATCGCAGAGTTCCTCCCCAGGGTGGGTACCAAACAAAGTAGTGGCAGATGTCGTAACATGAATTGATGGGATGGACTGAAACCTTCAGAATTTTTGGTTTAGAAGATCCCAAAGCATCCCTGGTTTCTTGGGAAAAAAAAAAAAATTTTTTTCCTCACTCTTACTGAAGCAATTTCTGCTCAGAGATTGGCTGTATTGATTGACCTGGCCTGGTGATACAAAAATCAAAGACCTTTTAGTTTTCTATTCTCTCTTCATCTTCTTTACTGACCTATTCATTCAAAAGGTAGTTCTTTTCAGACTGATTTGCCCAGAGTAACTCAGCAGAAACCATGGTCAGTATATCTGTTTGGCTGGTGCAAAGCTGATGGAATTTCCTTGGCTGTGTAACTTTGATTAAAATATTTCCTAAACTCAACTGAAAAACTGAGGGCACATCTGACATTTGAGATGTGATGCAGTAGTTGAGAACAGTCTCTTTATTATTTTTTAGTCATACTCCTGACAGTGAAGTTTGTCTGTGGCAAATCAGAACATTTTATCTGCTATGTTTATAAAAAGAAGCAAGTTTTCTTTTTTTTTTTTTTCAGTAGTACAACAAAGCACATCTTACCTCAGTTAGCATTATTAGGCCAATGAAGTATGACACAATGGAAAGGCCAAGAATCAACAGTTCTCTTCTGTAGCCCCTTCGGAAGATCTTTGGGTACATATCTACAACAGCCGTTACAATGCTTTCAACACACACGAACTAGAACAAATGATAGGAAAGTACAAATGAAATAAGTGTATCTTCTGCTGTTGGGATTTGGATTTGCTACCAAACACTTCAAATATCCTTCTACGTTCTCATCATAGAGACTGAATGATCCCCGAGGACACTGTCTAAGCAGAACTTGAAACTGAAAGGAGTATCATTTCAGAATTAAAAAGTCCAAAGCTATGGATTTCCGGTCCACCACCAAATTCAAATAGTTGAATCCATTAATATTATTTCCCGCTAGACCATGTTGTTCAAAGCACTGTCCAGCCTGTCCTTGAACACTTCCATGGAGGGGGTACCCACAGCTGCCCAGACAATATAAAGCCTGCTTCACTGGAACAGTCAAGAGTAGAACTCAGGAATTGCTCATTTTAGGAAATACTTTTTTAAAATTATTAGAAATCAGGAAAAAGCACTGTTATTAAAACTTTAATTTTAATGATTAGAAATGTCATGCAAAATAAGCACTCTAGAGGTTTATGCTGGAGTATACACGAGTTGAGCAGCATGCTAAAAATGCCAGCTGCTTTAAATTTTTCACCAAACAGCTTTTGCAATTTTTATTGTCTTATATGAAGGACAACTTCTATGCTGTCACTTTGCTGCAGAATATGACTATGCATTTCTTGCTATGGGACCTTAACGTAAAAATGCACCATAAGAAGTTATATTACCACTATCTGATATTCAGTTTCAAAATTCATTGCAAAGTGTTTTAAAAAAAAGAAAACAAGACACACTGGTATTCACTGAACTGTGAATTTTCATCAGCCATATTTAAGCTCGAACTTATTTCCATGTTCATAATGAAAGCTAAAATCAGGCTGAACCAGTGTTCCCAGTAAATCAGAAAGGAATCTCCAGCATCATACAATTAAGACTGAAAGTAAGAAACTTGAACCAATGGTTTTAAGAAAGGAATTAATCTAGGCTTCTTCCTTTCACCAGGTTAGATGCTGCTTAGATCAAGGACGCTGACATACACGTGCAAGGAAATCTGTCAAAATACTTAAAGTTTGTTTCCTACCTGACTGTCTAATCCAAGGAATATGAGCATCATGAAGAACAGAGCTGCCCACAGAGGAGAGAGAGGCATCATAGTAACAGCTTTAGGGTAAGCAATGAATGCAAGTCCTGGTCCTGAAAAAGAAGAGGAGAAAGGAAATGGTTTGTACCTGTATGCTGGGTCTGGCTGAGATGCAATTCACTCTTTC